GCCAGTCAAAAGTACTATTCTTTAACTCAAGGTTAAAAAATTTCCCAGGAAAACTAAGATCCAAGTGGACAGGGCCATTTGAAGTTCACAAAGTCCATCACCATGGAGTAGTTGAACTCATTAACCCTAACAATGGATCTATTTTCAAAGTGAGTGGTCAAAGAGTGAAGTCCTATAATGATGCAGCATCAACCACGAGTACCACATATGTGGTGCACTTCACTCAACCCTAGAATATGATTTTGAAAGCTATCACAACCTATAAACAATGTTCAAGATCACTAGTGATTACATTGACACTGCTACTAAGTCATCAAAAGTTCCAAGATCAAAATCTGCACCAGAAGTACATCCCAACCTCATTACCAATTTATTCATGCAACTGGTGAAGAAAATGGAGAAGAACCAAAAGACTGTTGAAAATATTAGAAGAGAGAGATGTCATTTAGACAACAAAGAATGGAGAAATAGAGTAAACAAAATATAGTGGCATGTTTGAAAGAAAAGGATATGGACATGCTCAGCATAAGAAAACTCAATGTTTATAGAGACACTACCAAATCAAGAGATGGGGTCATGAAAGATGAATGGACAATAGAACATCCAGAAGAGTATGCCAGTATTAGACCCTACCCACCAGAATTGATCAAGGAAGTAAAGGAGTTCCTTCCTCAGGCTACAGCACCACCTACTCACAATGAGTAGGGAAAGTCCATTTTTTTTCACCTTCGCTCCATAGATATTTTTATTTCTTTATTTGCAATTTTTACAATGAGTCTTGGATACTTCGTATTTTATTTTTAGTAGTAAATGAGATTTTAAAATTTTAATAATTCACATCCCAAGTAATTTAGTTGTTCAATATCCTTTTCAATCCTTAAGGCTAGAACCATGCACACCACCCTAGGAAGCAATCAGACATCCCCTTTGGTATTTTGGAAAATGATTTAGGCCATTCTTTCTTACACACCAACCATATACATATCCCTTGCACCCATTAAGCCAAACCATTTAATGTTCTCAATGAAGACATTAACCATTTTAAATGTGGTGGATGATTATATAGACTCATGATCCAAGTCAAAGCAAAAAAGACAAAATATGCATAGCATATACACTACTACAATATTACAAAGAATGCTTGAAAGCTGGAAGCAAAAATAACTTGTGCTTCAAAGAATAAAACCACCAAAAAGCCCTAATGATTTTGATTTCGAGTAAGTGGTTGATATCTAACAATAGGAAGTGTGTACGTTGGCCTATGAAATTAACTGAAAGAATGGGATGAACACAAAATTATGCTAGGTTGTGGTTTTGTTTTTGTTATCAAATCTCATTTGTGTTAACTTTTCATTTCACCCTTCAAAGTTTTTGACATTTTCTATTTTTGGGTCATTTTTTTGTCATCTTTAGTTGCTTGGGAATAATTCAACAGTTTAAGTGTGGGGGTGTGATAAGTGAGTACAAGCATACACTTTAGCACCCAATTAGAACTTTATTTCACTTCTTTACATCTTTCCCAATCCTATATTGAGTCTTTTAGTCTTATTTTATGGTTTTTACATTCAATGGAGCTAGGATGTAGGAAGTGGTATTGTTTTATGGATTTGGTGAACAGATTGTTGATTTAAGCATTACCGCAGGAGGTGTTGCTACATCACTGTATATTGGCACAGTCGGCTCAATGTTGGAAGATATTTTCGAAGTCTCATTTTTGGAGGAGGGCATCTTCAAGTACTGGTGGCAGTTGATTTACGAAAGAAGATGATGTTGAAGATGACTTGTTTATGTACTTAAGCATCTTTAGTTTTCAAGTTGACTTGTAGTTGGTTATTAAACATTAGACAAAAAAAATTTGTACCTTTTAAGCATCTTTTGATTCCCTTAGCTACTATAAATATGGGAAGATTTCAGTAGGCCCATCTGATCAAAGCTTCTTACAAGCTTTGTATTCTAGTAGTTTTAATATATTGCAATTTTTTGGTATTTTACAAGTGTTCTTACGTTACTGTTAGTTGCTACAGCAACCTTTATAGCTTTCACTTTACTTTTCGTGCAAGTTTACTTTTAATCCATTTACATACAATTATCTCCATTAATGTCATTTACTTTTAAACATTTACATTCATTCATGCTAGGCTAAACACTTAGGGGGGTTTGGTCGTAGAATGGAATTCAATGAAATTGGAATTCATCAAATGAATTTGACTTTGAGGGAATATAATGGAATTTGATGGAATTTGACCATGCCTTGTGATTGCGTTTGGTTGCATGGAATTGGAATGGAATTCTTAACGGATTGGAATTTTTTTGTTTGGTTCACGAAATTCAACTTTGGAATCAGAATTAAATATCAACAAATGACCTTTTAAGATTTTTGAATAACGGAATTGGACTAGTGATATCGATAGCTAGTTATCTTGAATCGATTCCATAATTACATATGTTGACTATCGATCTCGCATAGATGGAGAAGTTATGAGAGAGAGAGAGAAAGAGAGAGAGTGTGTGAGAGCATGCCAGATGGAGATCGAACCAGAGATCAATTATATGAGATGGTAGACGCAACGTTGAATGAATTTGGATTAGGAAAGGAATTTGTCAAAAAGGAATTGAAATCCGAGGGTATTGTCGTGGAATGTAAAATTCGTGGGTGAAGGAATTTATTGGAATTGAAAGAATTCCATCAATTTTATTCCATGAACCAAACATTGTATTTGGACTTTGGTCAATGGATTTGGCCATTCCAATTTCTTTCAATTCCATACAAATCCATGAACCAAACAGCCCCTTAGTGTGAGTGTAAGTTAAGGTTGTGAGATAAATCCAAATGTTAGTGGATGATTGTTTTGCCAATAGCAATTTACTTCACTATTCACAAATCGTATCAATATTTCATTTGGTAATCTTTGACAAATTGACACATATTATTTTATTCAGGTGACTAGGACTTAAAAATAAGACAATGCAAATACTTTTACTAAGTGTGTTATAGAGGCTACAAAAATTGCAGCAATCTTATGGGTTGCAAAACTATATGGAAAGAAAGGCAGAATATGTACTAGTTTGGAATTGTTGTATCACCAAGTGCATTTTCAACAAAAGGTCTAATATGCACTTCCTTGGAAGGCCATTCAATTCATTAATGTTGTGGAGAGTTATTGTTGCAACAACCTCGTATAATGTTGTAGCAATGTTCATTGCACTCTGTTGCTAAAATCCAACCTGACTTGCACCTATACTCTCTTTTAGTTATTACATTTCAGTATTTGGTTACCAATTCTCAAAAGTTATTGCTTCGATTTTACTTTTGAAATCTTATGTTAAGGTTGACTTTAGTGACTCTTATTGCTTTGAAAATCCATGAGAAACGATATTTTGTATTATTTACCATTATTACTTGCTTTAGACAATACTTGTAAGCCATGTATACTTTGTCTGATTTACTTGTTGCTATAGCCTTTTAGGGTTATATTTCCTTCACACCTTTGAGCATGTGTGCCAACTTTATGATTAGCAGTGAAGTTGAGTCTGGTGCCAACTTAACGACTAACAACGATGTTGAGATTAGGTGCCAACGTTATATCTAAATGGGATACAGTATTTGAAAGATTAATATATGATCACTGTTTTTGAAGTGTTTTATATTAACTGGTTTTTCGTTACAGTATTGCAATGTCAGGGAATTTTCTCACTAGACCATATGCTCTAACCCTCATTCTGTTTTAAAAAATATGCATTTCAGGGTAGCCTCGTTTAGAAGGTAAAGGAAAAGGGAAATTGTGAGATCATTTGTTTGGATGCTTATATGAGGAGCCTGTTAGATATGTTTGAAGTATGCTTTGGACACATGACTATATGGATCTTTTGTATGACTATTTTGTTAGCAAAAATTTTGTACTAGACTTTGATAATTGTACAGTTTTGTTGTATTTGGGACCCATTGTGTAATATTTATATGATTTGGCGAGTTATTACAATATACATAAATCAAAGAATAACGACAACCGAAGAAAACTTATTATAATCAATATGTATGTGTGTGTATATACATATGAAATATTTTTGTCTCTCTCTCTCTCACTCACTTGATTGGACTTTATCTCACGAGATTTGTCTTGCAAATTAAGAGATTGAACTAAGGTATGGATTATCGTTTATTGTCAAATTACTTGGTGTTCCGTCATGTTTTACACTTATTTGTTGTCATTAGAAGAAAAACCAAGAACGTAATGTCTAAACAAACTTTGAAGATCACTAAGCATTTTGAAGAACTTGAAAACTCATCACCAAGGTGCACATATATTACTACATGCAAGTCATTCTATATACTCCAATCTTAATTTAATTTTGATTTTATTTGTTTTGCAGTTTAATGATTTATTACCACCTTAATTCTCATTTGTATGCAACTTTTCACAAGAATCATCCACAAAAGCTAAAATATAATCTGGGTATTTATACTAATACTCTAATATGACACTATCACTTGCAAAAATCATAGTAAAATCTACATCTACATTTTAGTTCATTTCGGTATCACTGATGTGATCACTCCTTCAAATATATCAAAAGGTTATTTTTTCTAAAGTACTTCACTACGATACATGATATTATGTAAAGTTCATGTATTTACAAGAATTCTCTATCTATCAAGCGTTACGCGTAAGTTTTCAAGGCATATGAACGTGTATGATATATGTTCATTGATTGTACATAGTATAGATTGGTAAGGGATATGTTATGAGCGGTACAAAAGTTGCTTCTAATAGTATAGATTGGTAAGGGATATGTTATGAGCGGTACAAAAGTTGCTTCTAATCCTTTAACTTTTTCCTTTTTTGGTTGTTAGCTAGCTCTATTTCACATCTTAGCTTTCAGGGAAGCCCCCATCCGAATTGTTGCCTGTATCAGTCTCCCTCAATCTGATTTCGAGGGGCATTTTGAGTTTTTTGGTTGGTATTTCTTGTATTTTATAATATCCCAAAAAACACCTCTCAAAGTTTAACGGATGCATATTTCATAACTCAAAAAGAATTATATATACGAAAAGCCGGCTACTAGCATCATAGCGACATGACTGTTTACTTTTCTAACTATAAATCATTTTCGTTACCCGAAGGCCAAGCCAATCTTATGTCATTTATATCATCTACATCCGTATACTTATCATCTTCCTCTTGTTGCTTCTCAACATCCTGATTTATTACACTTCTAAGATCCAAATCATCGGAGCTCAATCCGGTTCTCGATGAGCATGGAGACACACATTCAGAATCTATTGGTGAAGTTATCCGAGAATGGTATTCGCTCGGCAATTGGGAAGAATACGTCCGTAACTTTTGAAGGGTTGCAAAAGATTCTCTCATGGCATTCATTGCTTCAAAGTACCTAGCAAATAACAGATTCTCCAACATGAAAGAGTCAAAAATCAAAATCTTATAAAAAAAATTACATTTAACCCCAAGAGATTCTCCATTACTACGTTAATTATAATATTAAAATATTCGATAAATATTATTCTCTCTCCTATACATTTATTTTTAAAGACTCTTATTGGTGGTAATAATAAAATATTATTTCTAATCATTTTTAACGAGTTCTCCAAATTTGAAGAATCAAAAAATTCCCCAAAATCTCCGTTTTAAAAAAATTTGTTGGAGATGCTTCAACAAAGGGTCATTGGCCCTAAGGTCACCCGTAGATCCCAACCTCACCTCACTGGAGGTCAATAGTTCAAGTCTCACCAAATGTGAAGAGTGTGTGTGTGTGTGTGTGAATTTTGTCGTGTATTAAATACTTTTAAAAATTACGTACCTGGCACATTGCGCCAATGCTACAGGGATTGGCCGAAGCATCTCCTGCTCATAATATGAATTATTATCTTAAACACAACATAATTGAATCAAAATCTGTTATCAAACACAAGAATCAGCTTTTCTAAACGTACCCCCCATACAGACGGTGGTTCTTTAAAGTTTTGAGCCCATTGTAAATCAGAAACAGATGTCGTGAGGGTACCATAATCACTGGCCGCGTTCATTATCAGTTCCACGAATTGTTTCTGATTATCCCAAAAAATTGATCTAAATCATGAGAATAAACTTTCCCAAATGTTAACAGGAACTATTGTTGTATTTAGAAAGCATATAAACTCCGAAAAAAGAACATAGGATTGTTTGTTCTTTATGGGTGCCTTTGGTACGCAGACGGGACTAGACACAGATGGGCGAGAGTGAAAGAAATGTGGAAGGTCTTAAGGTTTTAATTAGACATGGGTATTTTAGTAATTTACTAATCTTGTCTTATCTTCCCGATTTTTGCTCCACTTATTTCTTTTTTCTCCCATGTAGTCCCGGTCTAATAATACCGTCAAACATGGGCTAGCAAGGTTTTATCCTGTCCCGTGCGTACCAAACTCACCCTATCACCAAATTACTCTCATAAAAGAGCCCTTGAGAGAAAAGGCGGTTCCAACATACATATCTAGCCGATATAGGACTCCCGACATGAACTTTAGTTTGTTTTTCTTTTACAAATAGTTGTCTCCAATTTTTCAAAGCTTTGAGCGGATCAGCTAACCTGATATTCTGCTTCTACTGGAATGAAGTTTGATAAATGTGGCTGTTGAAGACGGGCTATAATACGATCCTACAACTCAAATCAACAAGAAATGCAAAAAGTTTCAAATACAAACACGTTGAAGCACACTGGCAAGTATGATTGATTTTCATTCTAATGAAAATTGCAACAATTTCGTTTCTTAGGATGTCACATGAAACTTATAACATTTCTTCTATCAAAATTTCAAATTCCTTATTTGCCCACCACCATTCTTTACTGGCAAATTGATGGTACTGATTCAAGTAGTCAAAGATTTTTCCCATGGGAAGAATGGGACATTGTTTCATCTAATGTATCACAAAAGTCCTCTAGAAACAGCAAGTAAACTTAAGCGCAAAGAGTTTATCACTGATGAACTTGGATAAAACCAGATTGGTAACCTTAAAAATCTCATCTGATACCTTATTCTGGATAGCACCTTTCAGTATGGCAGTGATTCTTGCTAATGTTTCTATCTTTTTCTCCATTTCACTCACATGCGTTAAGTGCCCGACATTCTTATCTTCCTGAAATGTTAAAAAAATCAGTTTATTTGTTCAAAAAATAACATGTTTAACTAATTTTGAACCCAAAATTGATGATGGAGGTCTCAACCAAACTACTAGCTTAATGCTCTTACTTCTGTACTAAACGTCTTAATCATAAATACTGCCTTAATTGGAAGCAATAATAGAAAAAATTGAGGTTAAATCCCATGTTTTTGTTTTCCTGTTGAAATTATATGATATGTTAAGTTATATATACATACATATATATAATTCTAATTATTATATGAACTGCTATGTTTGGACCATAATACCACCACTTTACCATCGCGATAACCGCTATATCAAATCGTAGTCCTGGCCGCAATATCTATTTTGACAGCTATAACTGCATAGGGTGGGATATATTGTGTTTGTTTGGTTCGGTTTATAAAATGACCAGTAACCAACAAACCAAGTTGCTCCATTATATATAGAAAAGTATATTATTATGAACTCACAAGTCAATAATTATCAGATGCAAAACCACAAGGGTTGTGGCGTAGTGGTTGAGGGCACAGGGGATATGGTGGAATATCCCACTGGATGCAAAATGTCTGCAAGCATGAATAGCTAACCTTACGACCATGAAGTTGCACTTGCAAATCTGAAACTTTCCCTTGTAGCGTGGTAAGTTCGTGCAATATTCTTATAAAGTCATAACTCGTTTCACCAATGCGAAATGATAAATTCTGCAAGTCTTCTTAAATAAGAAACCAAATTTCATAAATGATAAATGCAAGCATTCTGATGTTTCAAATTTTCGACATATATATGTGTGGATCGTGTGAAAAGGGAAGTTATTTTGAGAAGCATAAGAAGAGATTTGAACCCTTGATCATTTTTAATCCCATGCCCACCCATGAATTGCTCTTTAGAAGGGAATTGATCCGGTGCATCTAGGTGCATCTCATCAGTGTTGACATTCAATTAGGATTGATCCAAGGGTGGAGTCTCACTCTAACTTCCCTTCTCACCGGGACCCAACCCAGCCACAATATACCTAAACATTCAAACGTTAACCACAAGGGTGGTGCCTGATTGGTTTGAGCTTGGCTCCAAAGATCAAAAGTACCAGGAGGTCCCAAGTTCAAATCTAAGGGGAAATAAAAATACCCTTGTGGCCACGGAGGTTCAAATGTGGTAACTCAGCAGGTGGTCGCCCTGGGATTAGTCGGCTCGCATAGCGGGTTGGATATCCAGGTTAATCAAAAAAAAACATTCAAACGTTAAATTATCCTACAATCCAAACCTGATACCATCACAATCCCACTAAAAGTTTGAGCTCAATGGTTCAGAGCCGAAAATAGATATATGCATATTTTGTGCTTAAATTATCACTTCCTTTGTAGATATAAGAACACAATGGTTGTACTTATGAATGCTAGTGTTCAATATTTCATGGAGGAGATAAATCCTCACTGTAGCCTTTAAGAGTGTCAATCTTTAAGCCTTGCATTATAATAAAAAAAGGGAATCACAACATAATACAATGTTCAAATGAGGTGTATCTGAACATCCCTTCTATGTTTGCCTTCCTTCCATTCTTTATATGTTTATCTCCATAAAGATGTCATGAATAAGATAATGTGGAAAACACCAATCCTCAAAAGCTTCATTTGGTATACCCTTCTGGCCTTCTATCTTAATGATGTATAGCCTCACAATTTGAACTACAAACATTAAACCGTTTCTACAAAAGATGATCATCAGAAATTACTGTGATTGACATTAAACTATAGACTGCATTTCGAAACTCGAAAATCCTAATTTTGGGTCCATAAAGAACAAAAAATATGTAGCTGTAATGTCCCAAATTCAGCTCTCTTTTTTTTTGGATCATACAGGTAAAGCCTACAACACTTGAACTAAATTAATTTAGAACAATGATCCCTTTGGTTACGAATAAAATCTGAAGTATCAATTTTTGATGTTGAACTTAATACTTTCCAAATGCAAAATATGGGGTTTCTTACAAATTTGTTTAGGGCCAAGAAGGCCTAAATATTGGCGGGGGTAAATGAATCCGGTATCAAATGCTACTCATATTCAAAGATTATCCGCCTGTAAATGGCATATTGTTTGATTACCCCAAATGACTAAGTGTTTATTATAATGTTCGTCACTCATCAAATCTTCAAATCAACAAAAGCAAAGAAGAAAGTGAAATAGCCATCCATCAAACCCTAAAATGCAAATTGATGAAACCCTAAAATGCAAATTAATGCAGGATAGTCCCAAAATTATCATGAAGGTTGAAATCGGTACCAGATTTTGAATGAAAAACGACATGATCCCAACATAATCAAATTGGAGCTCTTGAAAACTAATGATCAACAAAATTGAGTAACAAATAGAGAAAAAAATGAACCTGGGAGGGTGGGGATAGAACAGGAAACCCAATGTGGGCAGCAATGGAGAGGGCATCAGACATTCCACCATTTTGTCTCGTAGGTTTTTCTTCCACCCAACGACTGTCGCTTCCATAAACCGACGCCATTTTAATTACATCAATTCTTGAAGTTCAGAATTGTAAACTGAAATTTTCATTTTGAAATTGTGCAACGACCAAAATCCTTTCATGGTGAATGGTGATACAGGTGGTTGGTTGGTTGGTTGGTGATCGAAAACCGCACTACTCACATTTTACAAAAAAAATGGCCCCTCATCTATTAGTAAAATTCAATTTTGGTCCTCGTATTTTCAGAAAGAATATCATTGAGTCCTCCTTATCCATTTCATTGTTTATCATCATTTGCCACCTACGTGTATGTTATATTTTTGTTTTTACTCTATTTTGAAGGAGAGTTTAATATAATTGTTGTAGCATAAGAAATTCAAGTCTTCGGAATTTCTAAAATAAAATAGTTGGTGGAGATATTTTATATCGTCTTTGTATTCATTCATATTGATTGGGACCGACCCAAAAGATAAATTATTCATTTGAATTGTGGAAGCTAGAAATATGAATGAACAATCGACCCAATATGAATAAAACGAATTGGGATCAAGATCGATTAGGATTGGTAGCGACTGTTTATGACCTAATGATTCGGGATCGGTTACAAATTTTACGAAATTTTAAATGGGTTCAAGGCTAGTTACACTACCGCAATAGGGATTAATTATGTATAGAACCAACATTTAAAAAAAATATTTTTTTATTAATTATAATACAAGTTTTTTTTAAAAAAACTAAATAGACTCTCTAACTTTAAAGCGTATTTCAATGATCAATAATAAATAATAAATCCTACATTTCATCTCTATGGACCGAGAAAAAAAGGGGGTTCACTGGGAAGAGGATTGTACCGTAAGAGAAACAAGAAAGTTAACCTTTTTGAAATATACAACATTAATTCTAGCAATGCAATTTAATAGGACGCTCATATCAATCCCAATGAATCATCCTCTCCACATGTTTATTTGCACGTTAACTAAGATAATAGCAAGACATAAGTGGTTACACCAACTAACTATCGTAATATAAAATAAAAAATTAATTAGAAACTACTGTTTGATCATAAGCACATACAGTTAACGTTAAAAATATGTTATCTTTTATGTGTTAACATTAAAAAAAATTCAATATTTGGCCCGTTTTTGAAGGTATTAAAGAAATCTTTCTAACGGTGTAACTTGCAAAATGAAATATGTATTATTATTAATTTTTTTAATGTATTTTTGCTAATAATTAATTAATATGAAAAAGTGTAAAAATAAAAATTGAAAAAAGAAGGGAAGTGAATTAAAACCATTAGGGTGCGTTTGATGCGCAGACAGGACAGGACAGGACAGGACGGGACGGGACAGGACAGGACAGGACAGGACAGGACAGGACAGGACAGCTGTTCAACGTTTGGTAAGACATGACAGGACAGGATAGAACTGGTTAAAATGACCAATTTACCCCCAGTGAGCTGTTTAGTGTTTTTTCACTACGAAATGCATTCTAGTAACACTGGTCCTACTACCACTACAGCCCTAATAATTCATCAACAACAACAACAACATTCAGCAATCATAATCAATGTAAACTCTCGAAATAAATCATAATACTTCATTAAAATCCCTAATAAGTACTTCAATTAATCAAGTTGTTGACGAAATCGAGTACGAAACCACCATCAAAATATAATTTCTTACTTGCATGAAACAAGAAGAAAGGTATTTGAAGAGTTTCTTCAAATTCGTGATGTAGTTGCAGTAAGAAGCAGCAGCGGCCATCAGAGAAGCAGCAGCGGCGGCCATCGGAAGAAGCGGCAGCGGCCATCGAGAGAAGCAGCAACGGCGGCCATCGGGAGAAGCAGCAGCGGCGGCCATCGGGACAAGCAGCAGCGGCCATAGGAGAAGCAGCAGCGGCGGCCATCGGGAGAAACAGCAGCGGCGGCCATCGGAGAAGCAGCAGCGGCGGCCATCGGGAG